GCAAGAACAATTCCAGCCATTGACTCTACATGATTTGCTTTGAATTTCAGTCATATTCAATAAATTCTTGCAACCTAAGGCACAGCATTGAAATCATCTCATTTAAACGATCCAACGAATGATGTCCGTTTAAGGGCATTCTAGAAACACTGAGCATACGCATTTTCAACTATCAGTCACATATACAAATTCAATACTAACCACCTGAAGTTTTCTCTTCGATCGTCCATGAAAGTAAAGAATAGACATAATATTTTCGATCCATGATTTCGTTCTGCTCTCATTGTGAAATCGTTGACTATCGAGTGTTGTCCATACAAAACAAAGGGTCTAATTAGATTTCCCTGATAGAAAAGAAAGTAGACGCTCCAATCTGCTGTTTCTCTCTGCAGAACACATCCGAGTCATGTATCAAAATTTCGTGCAATGTTTGCAAAAAATCCAAAAATTCCATATCAGTGTTTAGCAGATTTTAATTGTCCTGTATGATAGATACTGATCTGTTGATGAGAAGGATTAATCTACATATCGAATCGACTGACGATGGAATTTTGAACTCTTGTACAAAGTAATTCGCTACCGTAGCGACATGCTCTTTTTCGAAACCGAAGAAACAATAGCTGGATAATCAGGGTGAGTTTTTAACCTTTTGAGTCCGAAATTATTTTTTCTGAATTGACTTAAACAAGGGTGGGGTGTGAGTGTGAATAATAATAGTAACACCCACACCCTCACTAAACTCAAACTTCTTTCCAGATATTAAACTTATTGTCAACGTCATCCAACAGAATATTTTATATCAGAAACAGAAGTATATTTTAAATGAATTTATTTGACACAAATATACTTATTTGAAAGAAGAAATGGATGATAAGCTAAGGAAAAACATCATGGCTCGTTCAAATAATGGAAGAATTATAGTATGTATCACAAGAGATCGAAGACTAAGATCGTTTTAAAATGGGTTTTAACAATCGGAGAATATGTTTTGAGTAATTGTTTCAATTTGGAGAAAAAAATCTCTGTGAGAAAAAAGTCGTTTGAATTGATATTTTTGCTACGAACTTTTTGAGATTTGACATAATTCCACAGATACACACACATCTTCCCTAAGGATGAGGATGCCACGGAAATCTTTATCGCACATACATCAGCACATATCTCTCTATTGAGGATGACCGAAAATCGTGATTTCACATGAAAAACTGATTCCTTAGTAAATGGACTTGACCGAGTTTGGATGCAGTTACGTTGTTTATTTTAATTCATTCCACGAAAAAAATGTAAATGAAAAAATCAAAGTTAAATGTTAGAAAAGACAATAAACTCTGAATGCTTTCAATTAGTAACTGAAATTCTTCGAATATTGATTTTAACCATTGAGCAAAATCATGTTTTATGCACAGATTTCAATTCGTTTCTGAATTAATCTGTCACCTTTTCTATTTTCATTTCATTGAATATATTGACAGATGTATATATTTGAATTAGGATATGTTATATTCCCATTTGTTTTCATAAAATTCAATGATTGTATTAAATTATTTCCTTGTTTCCTTGTGTTTTAGTTATAATTGTTTTTTTTTCGCGTAACTTATATCTTAAGAAAATAAATAATAAAATGATGATCATCCTGCTTTTATTAATGATCTGTCTGAATTGAATACTAATGATAAGTTTATATAAATGCATAAAATATTTTTTTTCGTTGATTATTTATTACTCTCAGTCTATTTATTTATTTGTCTTATTGGTATTCTCTTGTTGTTGATTTCATTGTTTTCTATTTCGTTTTCTTTCTTAATTTTCTATTATTTTTATTCTTATTCTTGAAACGTCTGATTTAACTAATAAATAAGTCTGCCACGTCTATGAGATATAAGGAAGGAGAAGCCCTAAAAAGTGCGACTTAAAATTGATACTCACCATTTTCTTCCAAAATACGTGTGAGCTCCACAAAATCTGTGATTCTAATGAATATTCTAATATAAATCTCCTTAGAATTGATATTTAAACTACTGAATCGACCAGCAATAAAGGTAGGTTTAAAATGATAGATGAGTAATTGACCTCTTTCATCGTAAGAGTAACTTGTACTCATTAATTAAATTGTTGGATTGAACTGAATTAACGAGCCATCAGGCTTTTTTTTAATTATAGATATAAAAATGCTGCATCGATTCCATGCCTTTATCGGAATAAAGCCATTTTTTCCTGAAAATAAACGTGAACCTAATTGAAGCAAGAGACTTTCATGATGTACCTATATAGATAAATTGAAAAATTGATTTGTTGATAATCAATTTCTAGTCTAACTATTCATTCTCTATTGAACCAACATGGCGAAGCGAATCAATTGATATTCTCAGTTCGATATGCATCCTAAAAATCATCGTATATTACCAACTGTCAGATATTTTTTGAAAAGGATGTGCAAATAAACTTCTTTTATCGTTTATTGAATATCATTGAAAGTCATTTAATCAGATTATTTTCACGTATATTTTCGTTACATCAACATATTGCTTTTTAATAAAATTTTGGTTGTTGTCTATTGATTAGACAATCTCTCATTGTTATTGGTCAGTTAATTTCTTATCATCGTTGGATGAGCTTTGCTTTTTTTTTAGAAACCGGGGTAAAATTTATTAAAATATCTCAACGTTATCGCAACGTGATTATTTTCAATGGAAACAATTTAAATTATTCTTTGTAAAAAAAAGGAAACTATTAAAAACTTTACCTTAAAATGAGGTGTCCACTTAAAAATCGTATTGTTTATGAAAAAGCAGAACTTTTTTTGTGGGAATCTTAATAAATTCAATATTCTAAAATTTGATTTGATACATATTGGATATTTTCCTTTTTTTCTTTCTATTTAACTATCTCATATGAACTAGATATTGTCTATATAAATATTCGATTCAATCGAAATTGTAGTACAATAAATGTTAAGATTTGTTTTGTTCGTTGAATACTCTTGAAAGAGAATATTGATCTTAAAATATTGATACATTTCTGAATCGATATAAAGATATTCAAGTTTAAGTTCATAATATTCTTGTAAAAATCTAATTGGTTGATTTTGATGAGCACGGCTTTGTACCTGAAACATGACATTATTTTATTTTCAAATTTTTTCTTTTCAATATTTTACAAATCGCTAAACTAAATACAGATTTTGATAATTTCATTTAATTTGAGTTAGTTTTAGTTAAAAAAATAAATAAATAATATGAACTTTAATTATAAAATGTAGAATTTTATATAATGCAGCAAACGTATGGCAACATATTCTTATTTTAATTATTGATTTTCTTTATTTTTATTTAAATGAAAAAAATAAAACATCTCTTTAGTTAATATATTCATTATTTCGATAATCATCAGAACATTGTCTTAATCCACTAATAATAATAATAATAATACTGTATTAATTAGATCCATCGTGATTACCACAATCTAACGTTGGCTGATTTTTGTCTGCATAATATAATTCTATATTTATAATAGAAGTCCATATGATTTATTAATTTACTTATGTATGAGCAACTTAATTAGACATTGTATATAATTATATTATTTCTGTAAAATAGGTGATGGTTATAGTTTAATAATCATGCCGAAATAATGTCATGGTAATCACTATGAATCTAATTTACATGGTCCAACTTTAATAGGTCCGACTTAGCCCATTTGAGCTGTTTCATTTAGACTTTTTTTTTCTAATATAAATACTACAAGAAGAATTCGAGTAGACTAACCCTAATATTGTAACTAAATTGATACATCTGCAAAATGCTTACAAAATTGTGATAAGTATCTGCATTATGCTAATCCTAACTTATATTAATGTTAAAGCATAAAGTTATTCTTTTTAACACTAACACAAAAACATTAAATTCCTTTTTTAATCCTAATACAAGAATATTACAATTAGTATTATTTAATGCAATGTTAATGTTAAGTGGACACCCCTAATCTATAGTTCAATAAAACAAAGTTAGGTATCAAAATGTAACAATTTTAAGGTCTTTTTAATTTCAATTTATGTGATATTCTTAAATGCCAAAGATCTGATCTTTACATATCAATGCGAGAAAAGAACTCCGAACTTTTTCACTCAAAAGATCAAGTGACCAACGATTGGATAAACTAATTTTATCGTCATCATTTAATACCAAAGGATACTACAAACGCCTCAATATGAAGAATAAACATTGTGAATCAATACTTTTTTAAAGACAGTTGTCTATCAACACTACATGTACACCTTTATCGGATAATGATAAAATGAGTAATCGTTTCTCGGTGAAGAAAACAAAAGAAAGATATTGATTGTTGGTGTGATGAATTGTGAGAGCGACTGCTTATGCCTTTCGGCACGGTGGTGTCTTGTACCATCTACACACTCACAACTGTGTCTTTTCTTTATTAAATGCAACTTATATGGATATGATCACACAGGAGAGAGCAAAGAGAGAAGGTCAATCCTCGGTGAAAAGGTCACACGAGTGAAGCAAGAAGGTCAATAAATGCTACAGATTGAACAAAGACTTTTCTTTTCTCAAGTTACGAATGGCTGGAAAATATTCGCGATAATACAACTGAAGCAAAACTATCAAGAGATATTATTGTGACCGATCCCATGCATCATCACTCGTCATGTCTGTATCTGAGAACGTCCGTCGAGCTCATATGTTCATGTGCATACACATCATTTATTCTTTTTCTCTTTTTTAATGCTATTTCGGTCTGATATTTTTCAGTTCATATTGAATGTATCAGGTCATTCTTTGAATTAAACCTGAGCGAATAGGTCGCTCTATTACAATTATTCTCTTCTCAACATACCAATAATAATTTCAATTGTCATTTAAATACGTCCATCTTCTTTATTAATATTTCTATTTAACGTTTTTTTTAAAGTAAACTAAATATATGTATGAATTTTTTTATAGACAATATTATTAGTTAACTATCTCTCTATTACAAAGACAATGAATACTGATTCCAGTTTATCACCAACAAATAAAGATTCAACACTTATGAATACATCTTCAAATTTAAATATTATGCAAACAGCTACAAATCATCATGAACAAAATCAATCAACTATTGATGACATTTTTCCAGCATCAAATGATGTTTCATCATCAGTTAATAATATGACATCATCATTAACATTTTCTAAGTCAGTTACAAATTCAATGCATGATTATGTATATCCATGGTTGAGACCAGGTATTTATAAGTTAATTGATAAAAATGATGTATTGAAAATACATAAATGTAATATATAGAAATGATTAACATTTGTACTATTATTTAGTTTATTTATGATTACTATGAAATCTTTCTTTCTCTTTGCTTTATAGAATTTAATTCTGAACGTAAACGTGTTCGAACAGGTTATACACATCATCAAAAACGTGAATTAGAAAAAGAATTTAATTGTAACAAGTAAGAAAAGAATATTTTTATATTTATTTATAAATCTTAATAGATATTTAACACGTCAACGACGAATAGAAATTGCTCGTAATCTTGAATTAACTGAACGACAAATTAAAGTAAGAAAATCTTTTTTTTTATGTTAATCTATTTGTTTTCTTTGTTTAGATTTGGTTTCAATGTCGGTAAGCATAAATCACGAGTTTTTTTTTGTTTGTTTATTTTTTTTTCTTTTACATTAGTCGACATTGCTGGAAACGTGATAGATCTAGATCACTCAATGATCGAGATGTTCAACTTGAAGCAAATGCAACAAATCATGATCAAAATCATCATTCATCTGATATATCAACTAATGATTCATCATAATCATCAATATCAAATGTTAAAAAAGAAAATAATTATCCATATAACATCAATGGAAATAATAAATAAATATTTAACTGTATATATAATGACTTTTGACTAGTAGTAGATCGCAATAGAATCCATGCTTGTCGTTTTGTTCTTTAAAGATTAAAAATTGAATTTAGAATAGATTGTCAATTACTGTTTTATTAAAGCCTTTGTCACCTAAATTTCTGGATGCTTCAATTAATACTACACGATAGAAAAACGATTCATCAAGGTGTTTTCGTGTATGGGAAATCTTGTCATGATGAAAGTAGCTCGTTTATCATAGTTATTCTTGATAATGAGCTATATTTTGATGGTATTGAAAGTACCTTTTCGCTCAATTTATTTTTATTTGGTACTATATACTATTTTTCAGAAAGTATGTTTATCTATATACAACAAATTGATCGAGTCAAAATGATGGATTAGCTTTAAAACAGTTTCATTTATAAGAGTACATCAAACTATATCAAATGGCATTGTCAAAAATCAGCGATATAATTTAGCAATCGATTAATGTTGTATAACATGTAATATTACTCCAAGATTGACTTTCATTACGATACTTCTTTTGCAAATGAAGTTGATAGTCAATAGTATGTTCAAATATAATCATAATCTTATCGTCACAAAAGAACGAGGACGTATAAGAACGCGAATCGGCTCATCTTCGAATTTTTAAAAGAGATATATGAAACAATGCAGAATGAGACGGCGAATCTTTTTTTGATATATTCAGTCCATTTGGAAAGTCACTGGATGGTTTCCAATGGAGAATTCTACATTGTATTTTTACTCAAATTTAGCTCGAAATGAGGCCGTATATTGACTAAAAGCTAATATAGGGTGTGGGGTGTGGGTGTGGGGGTGTGGGTGTGGGTGGGTGCGTGGGTGTGGGTGTGTTCTTCTTAAAGGGGGACCCATACCCCACACCCACACCCACACCCTCAACCCACACCCACACCCACACCCACACTTCTAGATTATAGTATTCATTTGGATTTATTTGAAATGAGTTATAAAGCAAAGAAAAAAAAGCATTTTTTTACTTAGTATTTCTCAGAAGAATCAATCTGTTTTTTTTTTTGTTGATCATTCCATTAGTGTTAGAAATGTTTTTAAAAATATGTCTATTAGTTCTTTTTTCAACGAAATCATCGATTGAAATATTCTCTATATGGAAATGAAAATTTCACACAATATCCATTTTACCTTTCCATACTTTTCATATGGATTGTATCTGATATCGAACATACGCTTATATAAAAGAGCAAGAAAAAGAGGGACATGATTGATGTAGCATCGGTCACCACATATATTTAGCGGGCAAAAGGTCAGACAACAAGTTCAATTATTGACACAGATTTTATTTATACTTTGTTCTATCCTTTTCTCTCTCTCCATAGTTTAAGTTCATGCAGCAAAATCATCAAATTTCAACATGGAACCGATAAAACTAAAACGAGACAGTGAGAGTCATATATTTATTTTTGCTTGCATTTACTAGATATGATTTCTTTTTCTTTTTTAAATAACAGTAGTCGGTTCGAAAAGGTAGAGTGTTTTTTTTTGACAATTTAACTTTTGTTTGCTTTTTTTCATAAAGAGATTCATTAATTACTCGTTTTGAATATCTTTCCAATGAAATTATATATGAAATATTTGATTTCTTGGATTTTGTTCAAACTTATGACATATTTTCAAGTCTTAATAAACGATTTCAAAATCTTCTTATTAATTCAAACCAACCGATAAATATAAAACTTTCATTAATATCAAAATCAATATTTCAACGTTTTTACACAGAAATTATCACGTCAAAACAACATCGAATTAAATCATTTGATGTATCAAATCCGTTTATAATCGATCATATTTTCTCGTCAATTTCTATTCTATCAAATTTTATTCAACTTGAAAATCTTAGTTTTCACGATATCAAATCAGATTATCTTAATCAACTTCTTATTCATTTACATTCGTTACCTTCATTATCATCATTAATCATTCATTGTATTGATAATGTTCAAAATAAAAACATAATTTATCGTCGAATATTTCGTTTACCAGTATTAAAATACTGTAAATTATCATTGAATGAACCATTTAGTCTAATTTCATTACTTATTGCAACTAATGAATTCAGTTCTATTGAAAATCTGATTATTACAAATGTTTTACGATTTGGTGAATTAAATGGTCTTTTATCATATGTTCCTAAACTTCGTCGTTTATCGGTTAATCTTTCAAATATATATTCTGAAGAATACAATAAAGAATATTCAATTCATTTGAATCATTTAACACATGTTGAGTTGAATCTAAGCGACATGAATTTTGATGAATTTGAATTAATAATAAAAAATTTATTTAATCGAATTGAAGTTTTATATATTTCATCATTTGCCAATGAAACATATTTAGATGAAAATCGATGGAAACAATTGATATTATCTCATATGCATCATTTAAGAATCTTTGATATTATGATTAAACATGATTTAGACTTGAATGAAGATATCTTAGAAAAAATTTCTTTAGTCAATCAATTTCAATCTAGATTCTGGTTTGAACGAGGATGGTTTTTTGAATATGAAATTTGTTATGACTTTGATGATCTTTGTTATCTTATGTTTTATACAATAAATCCATATAGGTAGAAATAATAAATTTTTGTGTTTAAATGTTTTATTTCTTTTCTATTTCTAGAAGAAAATCTTACATACTTTATATTTCACAAGACATGAAAAATTCTTCATTTGGTCGAAAACATAAAATAAATTCAGTTCAGCATCTTAAAAGTGAAGAACATGAAAATATAATCAATTATAAATATTATTTTCCAAATGTAACTAAACTTACTTTATCACATTTCTTTAAAAAACAAAATACAAATTTTCTCTCGACTAATTTTAATAATATAATTCCATTAAAACAACTTACAAAATTAATTATTGAAACAGATTTTGATAGTTTTGTAGAAATAATTGATCTATTATATTTATCACCTAATATTCATTCATTCAAAATTGATTTAGTATCACATGAATATACTGATTTAATTTCAATTGAAAATAATCAAATATTTCAATTAGTATCAAAAATAAATAATATTAAAACAATGAGTATTTTGATAAACTGTACATTAGAAATAACAAAATTCTTTATTAATTTATGTCCACGATTACAATATCTTACAGTACAAATTCCAAATGATAATATTAAACCGATTTTATCATTTTTATTCTCGAAAGATAATTATAATATACAGAATTTATTTTCATTATGTATTAAATCTATGTCTAATCAGCAATTTGATATACTCAATGACTTTATTGTATCAAAAAACCTATTCAATATTTATTCAACGAGAATAAAACGTGATATAAATGATGATGTATATTTATGGTGGTAAAACTTTTTGTTAATAAAATATTTGTTGGTTTTTGGTAAATAAGAAAAACTAGTATTTTCTACCATGTAAAACTTCATTATCTCGTTATAAATAAGTTTTTTTTTTAATGAAGATAGGAGATTATCAAGCTTCGTAGGCAGTCTTTTGCGGCTATATAGGATTTTAATAACAACATTTTTATAGGATTTCACTTAAAATATAGGACATCCTCTCGTTCCAAAAAAAGAACGCTTCTTGAAGGATTTGAGGCCAAATACAAGAATAGATAAAATCATACATAATTTATGTCTCACGAGGAAACATAGGGTGTGGGTGTGAGTATGAGTCCTTTCTCTAAATGCAACCACACCCATTATTGCGAGATTCTGTATGCGAGACAGATATATTTTGTATCATTCCAAGTAAAAATGATGCAAAACACATTCAAAAAAGAAACGTATTTCACATTTTCTCCGATTCATGTCTGAGCAACGCGTTACGCAGCGCGTTTCCTTCAGTATTTTGCTCCATGGATATCTACATCGTGTTATACAGGCAAATATTAATAGAAAACTTATAGTCCATTATTCAGACACGTCTCATGTTAAGTTGATAGTCAATTAAGTTTTCTAATCAGAATCGAATAACAAACTCCAGTATAGAGAATATAATATTTCTTGGTATTTTTATATTTGTTGGCTATCTGAGACAAATTCAAAAGAAATTCAAGGTGAAATAAAATTTGGAACTAAAAATTAAATCGGATATAAGTGTTCCAGTCTAGTCATTAACAAATCAGCAGAATATGTTACGATGTTTAGAGTCTACAAATTTAAAGCTTTCAAAAATTTCCTATACGGAAAATCTACATAATTCCAGTGTTTTGCAGAGTTTTATCAATGAAAACAGATAGTGAAGCGAGCGATCTTATGTTTTTTTTTGTAGAATTAGGTTAATACCGAATGGTTGTTAAAACTGAAATTATAGTTCTTAAATGTCATCATAATACAATCGTCGAGGAGGAAATCTGAGTCATCTAATTTTGTATTAATTATTGTTAAAAAATGACCTCTCTAATAAATACGTTGACATAGTGCTTCACTGACTCAAGAAGCGAAAACAAAAACACTCAATATTCATCTGTTTTACATACCCGGACAAGGGTTTCCACAATTTTCTACTCTGTACTTTGCATGATCTTCTTTGAAATCGATCAACTTGGGAAAAATCACCATTGAGACAATGACAAGCATTCATACTTAAAATAGCTAAATTTGTCTTTAAATTTTCACAAACTGATAAGCATAATTCATGTATTAAATAATAGGATATCATCGCTGGTAAACCAAATACCAATGGTTTACGAAAACAATTTTGTCCAGAGTTATAAAAAAGCATATTTTTTATTGTGTATAAAGTATGTCTTTGGCTTCGAACAATTATTAAATTGACTATTATTTATAATAGAACTTGGTTGTTCGTCAATTATTGAACGTGACATAACCAAACATGAATCGTCTTTTACGTTTGAATTACTATCTTCTTTTAATTTAGTCATTTGAAATTTATTGATATATGAACGATTGCTATTAATGTTGGACATTGATGATGTCCAATCTTCATAATATCCATAGAATGGTTGTGATTCTGTTTCAGTAATTGATGTATCTAAGAAAGAAACATCTTGGTAATCTTTCAGAAGTCATTTATAATATGTGGGTGTGGGTGTGTGGGTGTGGGTGCGTGTGGATGTGGGTGTAGGTGTGGGTGTGTGGGTGTGTGGGTGTGGGTGTGAGTGTGGGTGTGGGTATGGGTGTGGTTGTGGGTATGGGTTGGGGTGGGGGTGTGTGGGTGTGGATGGGTGTAGGTGTGAGTGTGCGTGGATTCAGAGGACACCCACAGTCACAGCCACAGCCACAGCCACAGCCACATCCACACCCACACTGTCAAACGGCAGTGTGTTACCTTTAATACGACATTCATTCTCTCTTTTCTTCAATTTGTCAAAGAATGATACAAATAGAGAAGGTCTCATTTGCTTTTACCAACTTCAAATAATGTCCTTGTTGCTTACTTTTTTAAAGAAAACGTAGAGGTGAAGTGCGCACAATTTCATTGCTCAGTTTGCATGAGCTGCGGGTGTGGATGTGGATGTGGGTGTAGGTAATGATCTTGAGGATGTGGAGTGTGGGTGTGGATGTGGCTGTGACTGTGGCTATGACTGTGGGTGTTCTCTGAGTCCACACACACTCACACCCACACCCATCCACACCCCCGCCCACACCCACACCCACCCACACCCACCCACACACACCCACCCACACCCACACCCTTCTCTTACTGTAATTTTTGATTTTAATTATTTGAAAAGGATTTTTTCAAAGTCGCTGATTGACAGTCTTGACTATTCGTAGCAAAAGTTGAAGAAGATGGACATGATCGTGAAGGTAAAGTTATTGCATCTGCTTTTAATGACCTCAAATTTGATGTTGATATTGGATCTTTATTTGTTGTAAGTTTTTGTTTTTAATATTTAAATACAATATCTTAATAAAGTCTGTGTAGACTACATCAGAAGTATAGTATTTCAAACAATTGATGATGATGTTCATTTTGTTATTGTTGATGGAGTTATTTCACTTATAATAAAAATTTATTTCTAAGTCAACCATTGGACAAAGCAGAATGAAATATTTAATTAACCAATTCCAAAAATAAAACCTATATTAGCGTTTCAACAAAGTAATATAGATCAAAACCTTAAGGCAATCAAATGGTTTTATTCACAGTTCATTGACAAATCGCAAAGTATGTATATCATACATTCTACCGGTATCAACAGAATTCGAATTTTCTAAATAGCATTGTATCTATCGTCATATAAATCGTTTTATACTTTTTAACTACAGTATCTTAAGAAAAGATTTGTCAGTAATAATAATTTGTTTGAAGATATGACGTCAAAAGCAGAAGCAGCGGAGCGTCGTGAATCTAAGTGAGGCTCATAGGGTCCCCTTCCTCTTGGCCAAGATTCAGTGATCAAACTTTTATCGAAGTGTCAAGCAAGTATGTTTTTCAACTCCAGTAAACCAGCAAAAGAAATGGATAGAGATATGACTAAAAGCTCCAAAACCTAGTTTTCTTCGTTCGTTCCTGGATCGCAAACTACCATAAGTATAGGAGTGTCCCGAGATTGTCAAGATTGAGGGTCAAACAGCTTTCGCATTGAAGCTAGTCCTAATTTTTTCTTGGGTCTAAAATGCACGAAAAGTCTTGTTTCATCTAACCAAGTTCGATGCAAAAAAAGTCGACCTTTGCGACAACTTCATAAAATCGTATGGAACTCAACATAATTTGTCGTGAAGTTTTCAAAAAAAAAGTCTTGAGATTCCCACAGTTGTCTATGCCTCTCGCGCAGTCTTTAAATTTTCGCGAAGAAAATAATTTTTGCGCATTTTAAAAAATACTACTTTGCTTGCGGTTTTTTGGGGAAAAAAATGTCTTCGTATTCAATTCAGAAGAAGTTATTTAATATTTCTGCAGCCGAAAGCGGCCACGCTTTCAAGAGCTATTTCAAAGCGAAGCTGTTTACAGAAAGTCTAGAGAGGTGTTAAGATGACCACACTGAGACAGTTCTTAAATGTTCGCGAAGCGAAAAACTTTTGATATTTCTATAACATTTGTTTTGTTGAAAACAATCGTTTGAACCCGGATTTTCGCGAAGAACCCACTAGGCTCCCCGTATCGCATAACAAACCCTATTTTTCAGCCAGCACAACACCACAATTTTCAATTACTGAAGAGGTCATCTCCTGCTCGAGACACCCATGCACAAGTGCACAAAAGAGTTGGAAACTATATATTCTCGTAGCATGTCAAGTCCAAAATTAAGCGAGGCTGAGTCTCAATTGGCCAAAACCAAATGAGGCTCGAGCCTCACGGGTCTCAATGGCTCCGGCGCCACTGGTCAAAAGAGAATTTTATTACAATATGAATAAACTGAATCAACATTCTCAAAAAATAAAGAAAAAGAACAATTCATTTCCGATATACAATACAATAATTCTTTCATTGACTTGTCATAGAATACAAAAAAAATATTATTTTTTTAAAGATCTTGTGGAATTGCTATTGCCCCTGGCGATATTAAAGTCGTATGTGTTCTTGTTCCTCTTCGTTTTAAAGTAATTCCATTAGTTAGAAGATGATTATTTGTTTTTAAATTGAGTTTTTTTCTAAAACATTTAGGTAATATAAGTTTATACATTTCCATACGAAATTGTTGAGACGTTAAACAATATATAATAAATGTTATAAATGATGTACCAATTGATTTTATATCCCATCTATTACCCAAATGTAAATATCGGAGAAAAAAATCTTTATCAATTCCACTACCAATAATAAAAAGACTTTGAGGAAGTTCAACAAGTGCAGTAAATAATGTTATAAATACAAGCATTGTTGTTGTTCGTAATTCACGTTTTAAACTTGATGCTGATGCTGATGCTGATGATACAGATGAATAACGACGACGAAAACGTTTATGTAATTGACGAGCATGATGAATATTTAATATTAATAATACACTGAATATAATTAAGATAAAAACAGGTGAAATTTCAAAACATAATGCCATTATAACAAAAATGATTTTTTCTAATCTTTCACCGGTTGGTGTCCTAACCCGATAGACCGTTTCTGTAGAATTTTCAGTATATAATTCAGGAGGATATACATAAGCAGATTGATCAATAATATTCCATATTAAGTAAATTATTATCATTAATAAACATATTGGAAGAGCAACGATCCAAACAAGAATTATCACATGACTTGTATTCACTACTACTTGTTTAGGTTTTGATATTATTGTATATCGAATCTAAACAATTTACACATATAATTATCCTTTATCTAATAACACTTACAATAGCTAGAAGACAGGTTAACCATAATGCAATAGAATGTGCAGTTGAACTAATATTAATATTAAATATAGCAAAACGTGGCCAGAATTGTGATTGGCCAAAAGATGAATTTGGTTGATGAAGAATATGAAAATATAATGAATAAATATTATATGATATTAATACAACTGTATCAAAAAATGCCACATGTTGTAGAATTAAGTTTGTTGGTGTTCGAAAACTTTTTCTTTGAAGTACAATAATTGTTACAATACTTGTTAATATACCAAATATTCTTAATGAAAATGAAATTCTACCATGAATTTGAATTTCGCTAAATTTTCCGGCAATAGCAACAAACATACCTAATATGAAAAATCCAACAATAGCTAATATTAAAAGTCCAATGACGCCATAAAGAAGATAATTTTGCTCTTTAACTTTTACATATTCTTCAGTATTTTTGATAACATCATCAGATAATGACAATGATGATGATCTTGATGTTTGACTATCTGAAAATTTGACAAACAGAATCGAAGAAATTTTCTGCAAGACATGCGAGAAAAAGCATACTACGCACTTTCTAATTCCTTTTTGTCGTCATTTGAATCTTCACATTCTTCTAATTCAATTTCAATTGAAATTGATGCTGTGGAGTCATCGAGATAATTTCGTTTAATTGCAATTACTTTAAAAACTATAAATGGAAGAATCAAAATTTCTTTTTCATCCGGTCTCGTTGATAAACTTTGTACATCGATAGCTGTTGACTTTTGTTTTATTAAATATCGACATAAACATGAATATTGTAATGCACAATGATCTTGAGGAGTATATCTCATTTGAGATTGTTGTCCTACACCAGCAAACATTTCAGCTACTTGGGGATCAATAGATGTTGATAAAAATGCACGATTTAATATGTGCTGATCTAATTGATATTGATCTAAATCATTTTTTGTTATTCTCATACCACGATAACATACACCTTGATATTGATATTTAGGTAAATTTGGATGATGAATTAAGAGTGTAACAATGTGAACAAGACAATTTACAAGACGATAATTTGATGAAAACGTTTTTGTTGTATCAAAATATTCTAATATATACAGAGCTAAATCTTTATTTAATACTTTATAAAAAAAATTTGTTAATGTATAAGCTTTTATAAAATATGTTAAATAATCTTGTTTTTCTATAGCTTCTTTAAAATATCCTTCAATAGTTTCAATTTGTTTGCGGATGATTTCATCTTTCGAATTGACATTATCATTATTTTGATTCATCAGATATTCATTAAGATAATAATGAATAACTTCAACTAATAATTTTGATACTAAATGATGATTGTCATAAGTCTTGTATAAATCAATAGCTTGACGAAATTTGCGTCGTTTTTCAAGGAGATCATCTCCTACCATTGACCATTCAATATAATCATAGTCATCATGTGAAAATAATTTTTGATGTTCTACAAATAATTGTTTTATATCATCAGAAGTAGCTTCTTCATAGGGTGTTAAATTGTGTCGTAAATTTCTTGTGCAATGTAGAGCCCCATATTCTAATAAAATTTTAACCATATCTCCATGTCCATAATAACATGCTACATGCAAACATGTTGAGCCAGTTGAACTTTGGATTTTATTTATAATATTTATATTACCAATAAAAGGTAAAATATTTTGAACTTTTTCTACTTCATTTTCTTTGCATAAATGATATAATAAATCAATGATATTTGAATCATCCTCATCGTTATTTGATGACAATGGTGATAACATTACGATGAGAACGAAAAATCGAATTTAAGACAAATAGAAATGTATCTTTGATTTGTCCTGTCTACTAATTGCAAAAGAATAGCAGAAATGGTATTATTAACAATCACTCTTTCTTGTTCAAGGGGGAAAAGGCGATACTCCAGGAGTGCATACTCCACCCGTACTCCACTCGTACTCCACCGGTACTCCACTCGTACTCTACCGGTACTCCACTCGTACTCCACCGGTACTCCACCCGTACTCCACCGATACTCCACTCGTACTCCACCGGTACTCCACTCGTATTTCACTCATACTCAACCCGTACTCCACTCGTATTACCTCCGTACTCCCTCGTACGTCTCTATTCCCTTGCCTATAGTCAGAGTTTTAACCCTAAAATTGAATGTGTGATTGTGTGTGACCACAGGGTTGTAGTTCACATCTATGTGAGAGCAACAAAATTCTTTACGGACACCCTCAGATCCTCAAGGGCTATATCCTGGGGTATCCTTAGGTTCTCAAGTACTATATATTGGGGATACCCTTAGGCCCTCAAGTACTATATGTTGGGGATACCCTTAGATCCTCAAGTGCTATATTCTAGGGGTACCCTTAGGTCCTCAAGGACTATATTCTAGGGATACCCGTAGGTCGTCAAGGGCTATATTCTCGGGGTACCCTTAGGCCCTCAAGTACTATATATTGGGGATACCCTTAGGTCCTCAAGTACTATATGTTGGGGATACCCTTAGATCCTCAAGTGCTATATTCTAGGGGTACCCTTAGGTCCTCAAGGGCTATATTCTGGGGTACCCTTAAGTCCTCAAGTACTATATATTGGGGATACCGTTAGGTCCTCAAGTGTTATATTCTTGGGGTACCTTTAGGTGCTCAAGTACTATATATTGGGGTGCCCTTAGGTCCTCAAGGGCTATATTCTGGGGGTACCCTTAGATCCTCAAGTACTATATATTGGGGATATCGTTAGGCCCTTAAGGGTTATATTCTTGGGATACTCATAGATCCTCAAGACCTATATTCTGGGGATACCGTTAGGCCCTCAAGGGCTATATTCTGGGGTACCATTAGGTCCTCAAGTGCTATATATTGGGATATCCTTAGGTTCTCAAATGCTAAATTCTGGAGATACCCATAGGTCCTCAAGGGCTATATTCTGAGGTATCCTTAGGTCCTCAAGTACTATATGTTGGGGGTGCCCTTAGGTCCTCAAATGCTATATTCTGGGAATACCCTTAGATCCTCAGTTGCCATATTCTGGGGGTACCTACACGTTCTGAAGGGCTATATTCTGGGGGATACCAAGGGGTGGTGCATAGGGTATATATTTACTTTTCTATATGAAACGATGTCCACAGTAGTTTAACACATTTGATCAGATGTCTTATTGTCACTTTGTAGAACTCGGCTTTTGCTATAACTTTGCTCACAATACCGTTTCTTGATATTGCTCATGAACAAAAATATGAGGAATTCACCAAGAAATCAGTATTTACTTTACTAAAGTAAATAGTAAATATTTGATGTATCCCTCATATTTTGGTTCATGGATGATATCAACAAACGGTGTCGCAAGCAAAGTGATACCAGAAGCCGAGTTCTACAAAGTGACATAAGACATCTGATCAAATGTGTCAAACTACTGTGGACATCATTTCATATGAAAAAGTAAATACTTACCCTATGTGCCACCCATAGTTATGGCATAGCCTGGAAGTACAGGGAGTACGCGGAAGTACGGCATTTTCGCTTTTCTTCCTTGGTTATATATCATAGTTTTGAGTATTAGCATGCTTAAGGAAAACAATGGTAGTGATATGAGAGATCATTCATAGTCCAAGATGGTTCATTTCACTTCACCTGCACTTCTCTTGTACTTCCCTTGTACTCTCAGACTCATCCGTAGTCCCATCGTACTTCATTGTCCTTCCGGAGTACGGGAGTCTTGCTTTTCCCCGCCTGATACACTTAGAATATAGGCTTGAAGACCTGAGGGTACTCCCAGAATGTAGCACTTGAGAACCTAAGGATACCCCAAGAATATAGCACTCCAGAGAGGGTCCGCGAGAAGACCACCCTACTCTCCATAGAAGTCGTCGGGGAAAAAAATTTTTTTTTCGATTTTATTTTCTTAAATGATAGGTCTAGGCAATCTATAGTTAAATCCAAAATATTAGGTCATTTGGTTTTACCTATGAAAAATGCGAGCTAAAACAAGTGTAAGGGGGTCAATTTTGACCCTAAAAATCCGCTAAAAATG